TAACTAACCCAATTAATTAATAATCTCACTTTCGATCTGCGTTCTTAAATGAACGGAAGTAGCTTAGCTAGGTAATACATAACTGCTCGCTGGATATAGATTTCATGTAACTAACCAATCGCAAAAATAGGCTCTTAGAGCCATGACCCTTCAGGGTCGCCCTATTTGACCTACTCCGTAATAAGAATATGTTAATTTTAGATAAATTGCATCATACGAAACTCTAAATTAGTAATTTACGGTGGAGCTCACAACTCAATAGATATATAAATACTTAGAGTCAGAGACTCATGGCTTTGCCATAGAACTATACTATTATTGCTCATATCCAAAAGAAAAAGGTACGTTTATTTGCTCGTCTTGCTGTAAAAAACATTAATGAAATTATAAATAATGAGATCTCTATATTTGATAGAAAATGGATTATATCGACCTTACATTTCTTGTTATTCCTACTGGCGCATTTTTGGCTATCGAAGTACGCCGTATGGAATTTATATTTCTAAGAATGAATCAGTCAGCGTATTACATACCAAAGTTCGTAATACCTTGTTACACGAGTACAGAAATGCTTCTTTTAATCTTCGTGCGGTTGATGTTGAACGTAGAGAATATGTACATATGGAATCTGAAAAAAAAAATCAGCTGAAATCTCGTTTCATTTTCTCGTAGAGTCGGAGTCTCATCCCCTTTAGAATCGTCCCTTCGGTCCTGCTCCGCAATAGAATCCAATGATTAGCTTTTTTTACCTGTAATATTAACGGCATGTATTAAAAACTTTGTACTATGTGGTTACGACCATTTAGGCCCGATTGTCTTGTTAATACAATAAAAAAATACATGTGAGACGGGTTATAAATATATTATGATCATCGTGGGTTAAATCATTTTCATGTAAATATATCAGTGGATCCGAATAAAGATTTTTGTGTAGGCACTTTGTGCCATTGTTATATAATAAATATTTATGCATTATTTTCTGCATTAAATATATTCGACTAGTCAAGATATTTTATTATAGCAAATATGATAAGTAATACTAATAGTAAAACTGATCAAAGCGAAACATTTGCTCATTTATATGAGGTGCTTTTATATAAGAGGAAGGATATAATAGCAACTCAAGAAAAACTTGGTATTAATAGTAATACGTTAAAGCAAATAAAACACGAGTCCGATGGAAAAACACTAGCTGATTCATATAAGTTGCTATTACATTTGGTGGGAGATTTAATACTGATACAGAAAAATCTCGACATTGATGGCAACCCCATTCTGGCAGTGGAATATAATAATGTGACAAATCAAAACAATAGAGGTTCTTCCGATTTATCACTTTCGAAATTATTTAGTTTGCTTTTATACTTGGAAGACGATATAGTGACAATTCAGGAAAAAATCAGTATTCTTGGTTATACTAATCAATAAATGGCAGAAGAAGCCGATAAAAATGCGAGAGTGTACCTCCGAAAGTTTGAAGAATTTCACGGTCCCTTAGAAGATATTCCAAGTGTGTTAATACAGAAATTCGTTGATATAGGGGTAAAGAAATTTTGGTTTACTGGTGAGGGACTACCATTGTTTCCGAATGTCACTCTTCAACAATTACATGAAATTTTCGTCAAAAAATCGGCTAGCGATAATCAGTGCCCTTGTCTAGAATCAAAAGTAAAACAAGGAAAATTATCACAGATATATATACGTCACAGCAAATAAAAATTCTTTGTCTGAAATTAGCCGGAGATTGTCGAAAATACCTGATTACCCGCTCTAATTTTCTATAGCTTCCTGCGATATTATTTAATGATGTATATTATCAGGAAAAAAATAACTCGGTAAATAATTATTGCGAAGCAATGACCCTTTGGGTCTACCCATTCTCCACTACTAAATATAATTATTTGTAACCCATGATGAATGATTAGGAATAATCCCGCCAGTCTCCGATATAATTATTGATTGCGGAAATTAAATCTGTTCTATCTAACGATGGAGCTTATTCGCATTTTGATAATATCGATCTTTGGCTTGTTTCATTAATGTGCCACCTGGTCGATATAGCCATTTCATTACTGCATGCTGGATTATTTTAGCGGAATTAATTTGTCTTCTCCATAAACGATATGTCCGCTGGATAATTAATGACGCACGATTTTTTTTATACAATGCTAATTGAACTTTAAAATTTCTATATTCAGGGTCATTACCTATTTGTTTATGGCTGGTTAAATT